TTGCTTTAACATCCGACTTTCATTTCACAGAACTGCTGTCAAAATGTTTTAGTTGGCATTTTAAGACACCTGATGAATTCATGTTTTATTGTGTGAGAATGTAAGTTGCACTGAAAGAAGTTCAAGAGAATGTAAAATGAAAATGACTGTGACATCACAACACACAGGACAAAAGCGTCTCTTGTCTCTCTTGGACAGAAGTAGTCCATCCAGACAGAACAGTCCCACTTCTCAATCAACAGACTGATCTTCTGCAGCCATATGTCCCACCGCGCTCTCTGAGGTCTGCAGACCTGAGGCTCCTTTCAGTCCCAGAAACCCGTCGTAAGTTCAGAGGTGACGGGGCTTTCTCTGTTGCAGGTCCAAGACAGTGGAATGAGTTGCCACTGCGTGTCAGGCAGGCTCCCACTCACACTCTTTAAGTCTCGCCTGAAAACCCACTTTTATTCCCGTGCCTTTGACACAGTGGGATTTGTTTAGATCCTGTCTGTAGTCCACAGGATGGCCATTCAGTCATCTGTTGAACTTTGTATCTATATTTTTATGTTGTGTTTTCCTGACCGCTGTGCTTGTTTGTTTCTGTTGTACAGCACTTCGGTTGGCCTTGTTGCTGGTTTAAGTGCTCTACAAATACATTGGTATGGTGTCATTTAATCTGCACTGCCAAGTCAGATTTGTTGGACTGATTGGTTTTGACCAATTAACATCACTTGAAGTTTCTCCAAACACCTGGCTTGAAATGATTTCTATCACTTGAAAAACTTGTTTAGATTACTGTAATACACATTTGATCTGCTTTAACAAAATAACACCTGGATTATGTTCAGCTGGTCTGACATGCTGCAGGACTCCCAGCTGGAACAAGAACTCCCGTAACTCCTGTTTTACATTCTCAACACTGGTTACCTGTTAAAGTTAGACCATTGGTCTTCTCAGGCATGCTTTTAGTTTTTAAATTAACTAGTTTTATCATAATTTTGACACTATGTATTTTTTATCTTTGTTTTATATTTTGTTGTAAAGCATTTAATACATTTTTATCAGTGAATTATGCCATATAAATTAACTTAACCTATTTACACATGCAGGTGTGTGAAGATGAGCGTGCCAGACTACATGCAGTGTGCTGAGGACCACCAGACGGTCCTGGTGGTGGTCCAGCCGGTCGGCATCGTACCCGAGGACCAGTTCTTCAAAATCTACAAGCGCATTGCGGGTGTGAGCCAGGTGAGCATCCGGGACTCGCAGCGCACCCTCTACATACGCTACCGCCATCACTACCTGCCTGAGAACAACGAGTGGGGGGACTTCCAGACGCACCGCAAAGTGGTGGGTCTCATTGCCATCACCACGTGTTCCTCGGCCAAGGACTGGCCTCAGACCACCGAGCGCTTCCACGGGCAGAAGGAGGTGTACAGTTGCAGTCTGTACGACTCGCGCCTGCTCGTGTTTGGGCTGCAGGGGGAGATCGCAGAGCAGCAGCGCACAGATATAGCCTTCTACCCCAGCTTTGAAGAGTGCTCTGATGTAGAGAGGAGGGTGGAGGACTTTGTAGAGTCCATATTTATTGTCCTGGAGTCCAAGAGGCTGGACCGAGCAACAGATAAATCTGGTGACAAGACCCCTCTGCTGTGTGTTCCCTTTGAGAAGAAGGATTTTGTTGGTTTGGACACAGACAGTAGGTGAGTTGGTCTGTATGCTGCCCCCCCCCCCCCACACACACACACACACTTCTTTTTCAACGTTTCAGATATCTTCACCTCCTCTAAAGTTTTCTTTCAAATCTGTCTTTTGTTTTTGCTATTTATTTTTAATATTCTGCTTTATTTGTCTCTTTTTTTCTTTCATACTGTCCTGTGAGTTTATTGTTGGGTGTGAAAAGGTGAGACATTGACCCCATCACTTATTCACCCCGCTGATCCTGTAGGCTTTAGCTGTGCCCTGAAGGACTCTGAGCTGTTCCTTCATTCATGACTCAAAACCAAACTTATCTCTCCTCCAGGTTTCAGTTCAGACAAACTGAAAATAAATTGTTTTGTTAACAACATATGTATACACACACACACACACACACACATTGGACGCAAG